GGACTGCCAAGGATGAGGGCGAGGATAGGCAGGCTTGCTTGGAGGAGGGAATAGTCAAGACGTGAACCACGATGATGTCAGAGAGTGCAGAGTAATCTGAGGTCAACGCGGAGACAGGGTGAAACCCACCGCCCACCGTCACATCTGGCTTGAGAGCTGGGCAGCATCTACTTGGCCCATCTCATGAAGGGAGGCTCTGTAGACCATACAGTCAAGTGCACATTGAGTACTCTTGGTACAGAGAGGGATCTGTGCCATCCTACGCGATTCTCAACTGTGGCAGCACATTCAACTATTTCAAAAGCTTTTAAAAAGTGCCTAATGCCTTGGCTCCACATCGCACCAGTCTAATGACAGCCCCTAGGAACAAGCTCTTGGCTGATGCTATTAAAAGCTTCCCAGGAAACTGAAATGTGCATCGGGATTGAGAAATGGTTCTACCTCCTGAAGATGCTTCAAATGAGTAAAATAAGAGCGAACAGTTCTATAGCAGAGGCGTCTACCCTCTTTTGGCATAGCAGGGAACTTAGCAACCCCAATGCAGATGTGCTCTTTAGAAAAATGCTTCCATCTTCAGTTAAGCTCCTCCTAGGATGCACACAAGCTCGCTCTCTGTCACCCACAAAGCCTGGTTAGGCTTCCCAGAGCACTTTCTTGGGCAGCATCTCTCAAAGCATAGAAAGGACGCACAGGAGGAAACAGCTCACGGAACAGGGAGAAGTGAGGGTTCCCTGTGCAGATGTGTAACAAAGGGCAACAATTCTTACCATTCAATTTTCTTGCAACACTGAGCCCCACTTTTCTTTTCCCTGCAGTGTCCCTGGGGCCACTTGTCTTGATATGTCAACTTGATCAGATTCTCAAAAGCCTAGAAGTTTAGTGAAGCACATGTTGTGCTTTTGGAGGCAACCCCTGGGGTCTGGGCCTGGTTTCTGGCCCTTCCTGGCTGACACGCTTTCCTGCTCTGCTGCTTCCCATGCTCCATAAAGTGAGCTTCTTTGATTTATCAGTACCTTCCACCATGACATTTCTGCCTTGAAACCAGCTATCCTTGGCCCGAAATCTCTGAAACCATGAGGCAAATCAACTTCTCTTCTTTAAGTGGCAGGTGTCAACAATTTGTTCAAACAACAGCAAAGTTGACTAATACAGTCCCTCATAGACCTATGTGCAATAGGGGGGCTTCTTGGAGCTATGTATGCTGACAGTTTGTGATTTTGTTTTTAATTTAAGTTCCCAAGCACTACATTCGTGCAATATCTAATGCCTAGGGGCACCAAAGTGCTCCTTTTTATTTAAAACCAAAGCAGGCCAGGAGCCCAGCTCTTTGCCTTCATGTTCTGCTATAGGGTTTCCATAGAGGGAAGCACAAAATTCTAGGGCCCTTGAGAGCTGACAGAGGACAATTCCAGCCTCTCACTATGCATATGAATCGAAGAGTGAGGAAGCTTCTATGTTGTTTTTGAGGACAGATAATCTATGAGCAAGCGAAGCCAGCGCTGCCAGGCCCCACCCTCTGTGCTTCTGTTACCAATACACTTTCTTCCCTCTCAGGCACCTCAATAGATAGAAGGAAATAACTTAAAGGTTTAGGAGCAATCTGGGTATAATTTAGAGACTATTAAACATGGTCCCAGAGCTAGATTTCAAGCATTAGCAAATAAAAATACAGGACTTGAGCCAGAGAGTTAGCTCAGCAGACTAAGTGCCTACTTAGGCAATCACAGGGACTGGGGTTTGATTCCTGGCAGCACATGCTGCACCACCCCCACTCCCCAGGTGTGCTGAGCCGGACACCAAGACAGGCTGTGGTGGTGCAGGCCTGTAATCCCAGCACTGAGGAGGCTGAAAACAGGAGGCTCACTATGAGTCTGAGCTGCTTAGTGAGACTCTATACTAATACATTAAAAAAGAAAATGTAAGACTGCCAGTAAAGCTGAAATTTCAGATCTATAAGCAGTATTTTTTTTTTTTTAGTGTTTGTCCCTTATAGTGTCTGGGAATACACTTTAGAAACAAGCCACCATTTGAACTTTTAGTTTAAGCGAGTACAGATATTATCTGATAACCCTACCAGGAGCTGATGTGGAGAATTCAGGGAATTGCAGCTTATGCTGATCGACTGAGGGACGATAGAAGTCATTTCTATATTCCTCTAGTAAGGGGATTATTGGGAAAGAATTAAATAAATACTGGTCAAGGAGAACATGCAAGACCTATTGCCCATAATTTGTTGGCTTCTCTCCTAAGAGAGGGACTTCCAAAAGGGATGTTGCTTTCCTTATGGTGTCACAAAGCCAAAGATGAGATAAAGACAGTATTTTCAGCACATTTATTAAGTGGCCAAAGAATGGGCAAGTGGGAGTCTAATTTCAAATTAACTTCTCCATCCAGTAGGGGTGGAAAATCTTAGGTACAGGGTAAAAGAAATGAGGGGGAAGGGTATGCTAATAGAGGGACAGAATATTCATGACTTTGGGGCACAGATTTTGTGGGAGCTCAGGTACCACCTCTTTCGCTCCTTTTACCGTTCTGTCTGGCTATCATCCTGGCAACAATCAGCCCTCATGGCACTGGGGGAAATGTGTAGCAGGCAGATGGATTTCAACAGGGCTCAGGGAGTGTTAAAGGTCACTTAACCAGCCACCTTGGATCCTGTCAGTCACAGGTGGCTTCATCACAGAGGATTTTTAGCCTTCAGATATCATAGCCTCAAAGATAAACAAGATTGTGTGGAGCAGAAACTCAGCTAGGTCATGTCCGTACACAGAGCAACAAAACTAAGCATCGGTGCAGCAGGTTGCCCTATAAGAAGGAATCAGGCTGCAGCTGTGGAGTGAGTAGCATGCACCATATCTGGAAAAGAAAAGTCAGAAAGTTTTGAATTTGTTTTCATTCCTTGAGAAGATTCAAAGGCCTTGGGATTGTTTTGGAGTTGGTGAGTAATTGTCTGCTTTGCTATGCCAAAATATGACAGATTGCTTCACTACCCATGCTCTTTTTTGTTGTTGTTTTATTGATTTTTAACTGGATTTCTCACACTCGCACCTACAATATGCATCATTTCTTTAGAGGTAGCTCCTATTTTTACTCTTTCCCTCTTATCCTAATTCTTGCATGATGCTTATGTTAGCTACTAAGCCAGGCAGGCACTTTTGGGAGCAAACTCCTACACTTATGGGGACAAAAAGATACCATTCCTTTAAATGACAGCAGGATTTCAAAAATTCTTTTGTTGTTTCAGCTAAGCCTCTTTGGAAAAACTCATGAGGAATAGAAGTCACTAAGTCAGTACTCTGACTTACTTATTCAGGTACCTAAAGTAAACTTGGCTCATTAACACTCACTAAGCATGCCCAGATGGGTTGGTGTTTGCCAGCTTTCATTTTGGAACATAAGCTCCACATTCCAAACCTGAGCATGCTCAGAAATGTACCCACACCTACACTACCTGTGTTTTCCTGTATGCACATGTGTACTACCCAACAAAATCCTCAGGTGTTTGTTTAGGGAGAGCTATGTTTTGTAAATAACCCCAGTTCTCACCTTCCTTGCTAATAGTAATGAAATTTCCCCCAGTCTTTTGTCTACTGGTTGTGTTTTTGGCTTTGCACTTACCAAATACAAATTTATTGTGGTCAGGGAGCTGGGGAGATAGCTCAGTGATCTAAGCACTTTCCTGGTAAGCCCAAGAACTTGTGTTCAATCCCTGGTACTTCATGCTTTGTCAGCCCCAGAACCCCTGGTGTGCCGTGCTTTCCACCGAAACTGGGTGTGGTGGCACATGCCTGTAGTCTCAGCACTGGGGAGGCTGAGACAGTATGAGTCTGAGCTGCATAGTGAGACCCTGTACCAAATAAATAATTTTTAAAAAATTTCTTGTAGTCAGTTACATTTATAATGAACTGGACCATGGCAGCAATAAGCACATCACTACACAGAGGAGGGGAAGAGAAAGTCAGGCCTGGAGAATTTATATGCTTCATGTTTATTTCTTTTAAAATTAGGATTTCCTTTCAAGTACCTACAATATTTGGACTGGCAGCAAGCATGAAAAGACTTTAAAGACTTCTCCAAAAACAGCTTCTCTAACAGCAATGGAACACGCATCTCTGACAAAACAAAACAAAAAAGGGGATATAAATAAAGGACTGTTTTGGGGTGAAAAAAAATATATATGTATATACAAGATACAGCTACTTTCTCTTAGTTCAATGAGAAGAAAAGTTTGTACTAAGTATCTAGATAAGATATCACGTCTACATCTTGTCCTTTGAATTACTACTATGAAGACAACAGGATGCAATGTATTGATTGTTATAACTGTCCTACTAACCTGTTTAGAAACTGTTTTATTGCTATTTTATTTTTTTCTCATTAAAATGAATTAAAAATTTTAAAAATAGATAAAAAATAAAAGTTAGGATTTCCTGTAACAGATTTAAGAGGACAAAAGAGAAAGCAGAGGACAGTGTGACAACAAAATCATAGAAAATCTGAGTTGCTAACTTCACTTAAAATATTTAACAGAAAGAGTGATACACAAAGGTATTGGTGAAACATTGCAACACAAGCAAGTGAGAGCGCGCTCTAGCCCTTCACTCCATCCTGTGGGGTTTTGAGTGCAGAGCGGGTGGCTGACGTGCGCTCAGCTTCTCTGGTCGCTGGCTCAGAAGAGCCTAATAAGAACAACAGATTGAAGGTCCCTGGCTCCTGGGTTCCTGCACCAAGCTCCTTCCATAAAACCCTGCAGAGCTGGCTCCTAGCCAACGATGTTTGCTTTAGAGGTGGGGCTGGACCTTAAAACCCTTCTTCATTAACGTCCTCTTGGCTGACTAGAAATGCACTAATTTTGGAGGTCACACAGCTGGGCAGTAAGTTATTTAATGTCCCACTAACTTTGCTCTAGACACCACCCCTGATGTGGGTTATGGTGATAGCAGTTGTGTAGGTTACTTTTAGGGACCTGAAAGTTACTTTTGTTGAAAATACTGACTCTTGTGCTCACTTTGGCAGCACATATACTAAAACTGGAACAATACACAGAAGATCAGCATGGCCCCTGCGCCAGGATGACGTGCAAATTCATGAAGAAAATACTGACTCTTCACTTGGACCGACGGATAACCCATGGGTGACTGGGACAGGATTCAAATCCTTGGCATCTCCACCTTCATATTGTGTCTGTCTCCTTTGCTGCCTTAATGTGTGGGTCATATTTCCACTGGTCAGATAAAGGTGACCGAAACACATTTGCTGCCATGACCCTATCCTGCTTTATTCCTGCTTCCTGTTTGATTCCGGAATGTGTTCTTCATTCTGTTTTTTTGTGAGCTTGCTTGTTTTTCTGAGTTGATTCCAAAAACTAGCTGATGACCACGAACCTGGACTGTCCTGCCCTCAAGAACACCATCACAAAGAGTTTGCCTCCTGTGGGTGGCAATAAAACCCTGGACTGCCTACCTCAAGCTCTGAAGAGGTGCTGCTTTCGACATGTAGCCCCTGACTCGGACTTCATAGGAACAGCGTTTCTACAAAGGCTTGAAAACATTAGTCTGCTTCCTATCCAGGCTGACAGCATCCTTATTAAGGTCCAGCTTCTTTCCTTCAACCCTTGTGTCTTGGGCATAGGTGTTTCTGCATGAGGAGCTTCCAAATTGAAGTTTGGTAGTGGCTGGAGGTGTAATATCCATTTTCTTGTAAGAAAGTCTAGAGAGTCCAGCATGGCACTACAGGGCCAACCTGAGGCCCACTGAGTCCCACATCACTGTAGACTTCTTAGAAGGACAGTGCTAGCCAGCGAGGTGTTCATGTCAGAGGCTTGTTAGGTCCATTGTAGAGGAAAATGTTGTATGTGCTCAGGCCATTTTGAACCATTTATTCTTCTGTACTTGTTTATGAGGTTTTTAGAAATTATTGTTGCTATTGTTGTTATTGTTGTTGTCATTATCTGTGCTGTGAGTGAAAGCCAGGACATCGTGCTTGGTTAGCAGGTGCTGGACCTTGCAGCCTCATGCTCAGTTCCTCTTCTGTATGTTTTCCTTGTCTGGGTGACTCTCTGTGTCTCTCCTGTTAGACTCTTTTCTGATCAGATCCAGTGACCTTGGTGTCTGCGATCTAATTAGTGCTCAATGATAGTCACTCTTTGGCGTGTTGCTTTAAAATGTCACATTTTCCAGGGTAGTAGAGCATAAAATATTAGTGTAGATGCTATACCTGCTCATATAAATGCCTTGTGTCCTAATAAGAAATGTATACTTGATTTTTGTCCCAAGTCCTGGCATGGAACTTCTGAAGCTCTTAGGTGCACTGTGGCCTCTTTTCATCGGGAACTGAGTTTATGCTACAGAGATGACTCTTGATGTGCCCCTAGGTAGCTTTAGAGTGGGACCTCAGAGACAATGGGACCAACTGTGTGACTACAGGTCAGAACTTTCAGCTGCTTCTTCAGCTTCAGGGACAAACAAGTTGGGAATTCAAGCTCCTTAGTCACCAGTGGTCAGCACTATCCTCAGTGATGCTGATGTAAAGGAAGCTCCAGAAGTCCCTAAACACCAAGGTCTGGAAAGCTCTGAGGTGGAGAACATAGGGTGGCATCAGGAGGGTGGGGTGTCTCCTCAGGGGAGGACACAAGGGCTGCCTACTCTCCCTGCCTTGTCTGAGCTTCTCCCTTTGGCTGTTCCTGAGCTGCATTGCCATAGGAAACAATGATAGTAAGGAAAGTGTTTTCTTGAGTTCTGTGAGCCATTCTTGCAATTTATCAAACCCAGAGGGAGTCATGAGAGTCCTGACTTTGTAGCCGTGTGAGAGGGAAGTGTGGGCCCTTGCATTGGCCTTGAAAGTGAGGGCAGTGTTTGGACTGAGCCTTTACAATGGGGGACTGAAGCTAACTCAAGGTAATTAAACTGGGCTGTAGGCCACTCTGAGCATCAGAGAATTGGATGGAATGGAGGAAAACCTACACATAAGTGGTGACAGCAACGTGGTGAGCAAACAGCTCTGACCGGGACATGCCCTTGACCCTGCTTTGTGAAACACCAGGAGAAGAAAAGAAGTTTTCAGTCTCTGAAACTTATGAAGGATACATGTCAGGCACCGTTAAGGAAATCATGCAAAGAAACAGAAGATCCATTCGAACATTGATGAGGAATAAGAATCAGCCACTCAGAGAATGGAATAGCCAGTAAGTATTTAGAGAAAAGCTCACAGGTCTCACAGGTACTACACATTCGAGATGCAAAAATTAGAGTAACAATACAAAACCATGAGATTCGACACTTTTAAATTTAGTTGATATTAATTTCTAGGGGTGATTAGAAGGGACAAGATTCCTCGCAAGTTACTAGAGAGAATGTAAATGGACCTGGCCTTGGTGAAAAATAATTTGTAAAGTACAACAACGCAAAATGAAACGAGATGTATGTCCTGTCCTACTTCATAATTCTCTCCTAGAATACACCTTACTCATATTAGCATACAGCTCCATGAAGAGAGACCTCTGGGGACACTTGTCACTATATTGTTGCTGTACATGGCAGCACAGTAGTGCTGACCTCTGCCTCTGACCTCAGAGGGACAGTAGGTAAAACATTATGTGCATGTGACGAAACATTTTGTGGCCATCTGAGGAAATAAAGGCTACCCAAGAGTCTGCAAAAACAAAGCAAAATAAAGAAAAATGAGGAAGATAAGTTTTCCACTGTTATATCTATTAAACTATTTAAGTACATTATGTATTCAATAAACATTAGGTATATTACTAATATATTTAATGAGTATAAAATTATATTCACGAGTAATATTCAAAACAGTGAGAAGCAGGTGTGACGTGGGTCAGCCCACCAGCACAGGGCTCCCCTGGGATCTGTGCCCAGTGCCCCAGCTGCCTGACAGCCAGATGCACAGGCAATAGACAGCCTGAGTGCTTACGCTGAGGACAGAGGCATGACAGCTCAGAGTGAGGCTGTGCTGGGAGAGGCGTGAGTGGGAGTGAGCAGGGAAAACACACAGCCTCTGAATGGAATAGGGGGCAGCAAGGCGCTGAGGAGCAGACTCTAGGGAGGAGCTGCAGTGGAACACTGTGACAAAGTGCACACACACTCGCTGTATCTCTTCACAATCCAAGCACAGACTTGCCATGACAAGCAGGATTGCTGCTCATCTGGTGTAGAAAATTCCACTACCCCTTTACTATTCTGATTCTTATTTGTTCCCCAATTGAGAAATTTACCCATCCAATCTTCTGTTCCTTCATTCAGCAAATGTTTATCATGAAGCCTCCCCATGCCAGGGCTGCTCTGGAGACAGGATCGTGAGACATAAAGAACCCCATCTATTGTCACTAGCTGGAGTTCCAATGGCATGTCTTGCAGCAAGGTCTAGCTGCCTTCTGGCAGGTTTCAAGGACTCCCACATAGTGGCCATCTGTGTTCATCTAAGGCTCCCAGTAGGCAGGTGAAGGTGGCTTCCTGCTCATGCAGTGAGCTGCAGCAGCTGTGGAGACCACATTGCCCTGGCAACAAGGAGTCCCTGTGGACACAAACAATGAGACCCGCAACCAGCTTCCTAGTTACCTGCCCTCCTTCCAACATGGTGTATTTCATGTCTGATGGTAGCCCAGTCTGTCTCCTGCCTACCTCTGGAACAGTAGTCTCTGTGCCACCTTGGGATCTACTCTATAGCAACATGGGCCCTCGTTGGTGCCATCTAGAGTTCACAGGCAGAAGAACCACAACAGGTCACGTGTTCCTCATTCTCACAGCATTACATAAGGGGGGGGGGCAGGTCATCACTGCATATGCTACACTACAGGTTTTCAGAAGAGATATCAGCCTGGTTAGTCTCCATTTTATAAGGTGGAAATGAGAGTAACTGTGCTTGGGAGAGTAAATCTGGATTCAGGCACTTAATGGTCTGATTTGAGGCCACAGTTCCTCAAGTGAGAGCTAGAAGTCATTAGCTGGTCTGTATTTTAAGACTATAGGTCCCCTTGTCCCTAAAAAGTTGGATTCAAAGATAGTTTTTATCCCTGCTGGCTTATTGCCATACAAGGCAGAGGTACTCACATGAAATTCAGTGGACAGTCCTGCTGGCCTGCAGAGACAGACAGGTGATATACAACCCCCAAGAGGCTCCGTAATGTTAGAGACTGGTGGATGCTATGGAGAAATGCACATCTTGGAGAGAACAGAGCTGCCAGAATTAGGGGGAGAGTGGGGTGGCACTGCACTCTGTCCCATCACTCCACTGCAATTGCTATTCCCATGGTAACCAAAATCTAATCCTCCGTAATGACCCTCACTTTTCAGCCTTTCCATATCGGCTCTCTCTGCAGCATTCAACCCTATGGCGACTCCCTCCTTCTTTAACCTTCCACCGCTATCTCAAATTCATTATCATTTTTAAATGGACTGTATTCTTTAGAGCGGTTTTAAATTCATAGCAACATGAGCAAAAGGCACAGAGATTTTCCATCTGTCTTCTGCCTGCATATACACAGTGTCCCACATTATCAACAGCTCATGCCAGAGACTCGTTTGTTACAACTGATGACCCCACATGGACACCTTCTCACCTGGAGCTCCCAGATTACAAGAAGGTTCACTTTTTGTGGTGTATGTTCTATGGGTTTGGAAAACTGCCTATGACATTTATCCATAATTATCACTTTTAAAATTTTATTTTATTTTCTTTTGAAGAGTAAAACCATGCAAAATGAATAGTAATGTAACAACCATAACAACACAACAATGGTTGTTACATTATCTATTTTTATTGTCAAATATGTTGCTCAGATTAACAGATATAGTTATGCAAGGTTGAGGAAATAATTGAATATTGGTGCTTGCTTTCAAGAAATCTTAATTTTTTCCTTGTCTTTGCTTAAAGAGAGTATAAAAATTGATAAAGACATTAGAAATAATACACATTTAAAAGACCAAGATAGAGGTATTCAACCATGGATTTTGTATTATACATTGCTGTCCTCGATGTAGTTGTTCAAATCACAGATATCAGCATACCAAGTTAGTCAAGTTGAAAATTCTAAACATTAACTGCTATTTTCAAAGAAACTGATAGAAATTATGAGTACAATCATCTCAGCCA